AAAGAAGAAATTTAAAAATACATGGAAACAAATGAAAATGAAACACATTCGCCAAAACTTTTGAGATACAGCAAAAGTGGTCCTAAGAGGGAAGTATATAGCAATACAGGCCTAGCTCGAGAAGCAAGAAAAATCTCAAACTACCTTACACCTAAAGAAGCTAGAAAAAGAATAATAAATGAAGCGTACAGTCAGCAGAAGGAAGGAAATAGTAAAAATTAGAGCAGAAATAGGGGCACCAGGGTGGCTCAGTTGGTTAAGCAGCTAACTCTTGATTTCCGCTCAGGTCATGATCTCAAGGTCCTGGGATTGAGCACTGCTTCAGGCTCCATGCTCAGCGGGGAGTCTACTTGAGGATTCCCTCACTTCCTCTCCATTTGCCCCTTTCCCCACTCTCTCTCTCTCTCTCTCTCAAATAAACAAATCCTTTAAAAAAAATACAGCAGAAATAAATAGTATAGAAACTTAAAAAAGATAAAACTAGAAGAGATCAATGAAACCAGTTGCTGGTTCTTTGGAAAAATTAATAAAACTGACAAGGCTCTAGCCAGAGTTACAGAAAGAAAAGAGAAAGGACCCAAATAAATAAAATCACAAATGAGAGAGGAGAAATAACACCACCACAGAAATGCAAACAGTTATGAGAGAATATTATGAAAAAGTATATGCCAACAAATAGACAATCTAGAAGAAATGGATAAATTCCTAGAAACATACAAATTACCAAAACTGAAACAGGAGGGAATAGAAAATTTGAACAGACTGATAACCCGCAAAGAAATTGAATCAGTAATCAAAAAACTCTGAACAAACCCAAGTCCGGGACCAGACGGCTTCAGAGGCAAATTCTACCTAGCACTTAAAGGAAGAGTTAATACCTATTCTTCTCAAACTGTTCCCCCCTCCAAAAAAAAAAAAAAAAAAAAAAAAAAAAAAACAGAAAAGGAAGGAAAACTTCCAAATTCATTTTATGCGGCCAGTATTATTACCCTGATACCAAAACCAGATAAAGACACCACAAAGAGAACTACAGGCCAGTATCTCTGGTGAACCTAGTTGCAAAAATCCTCAACAAAATACTAGCAAACTGAATCCAACAATACATTAAAAAGCCATCACCATGATCAAATGGGATTTATTCCTGGGTTGTGGGGGTGGTTCAATATCTGCAAATCAATCTATGTGATACACCACATTAATAAAAGAAAGGAGAAGAATCATCTGATCGTTTCAATAGATGCAGAAAAAGCATTTGACGAAGTACAACATCCATTCATGATAAAAACCCTCAACAAAGTAGGTTTAGAAGGAACATACTGCAACATAATAAAGGTCATATATAAAAAATGCATAGGTAATGTCACCCTAAATGGGGGAAAATGGAGAGAAAAACTTCTTAGATCTTGCTTCTAGTTATGTGCTGCTTCTCATTAGCACTGTTTGTCATTAATAAATTAATCTTGACATTTATTACTTCCCACTTTAATGGAGACCAATTTCTACTATATAAGTTATGTATCTTATTAACTCTTTTTATCATCCATTTATCTTTTTTTGTTTTTTTTTCTTAACAAACTCCCCAAAGTTTAGTGGCTTAAATAAATAACATTTATTTTGTTCACAAATCTGTTAGGAAAAGTGTGGCCAGGACAGCTTGTTTCTGTTCCCCTAGCTTCAGGTGGGGCAACTGAAAGGTTTGGGGATGGAAGTGTTTGAAGATTTGTTCCATCACTTCTGGTGTTGTTGATGCTCGCTGTTGACTAGGACTATAGTTAAGGCAGGCAGCTGAAACACCTAGACTCTCTTTGTGGCCTGAGCTTCCTCACAAATTGGAGGGCTAAATTCCAAGTAAGCAGCCTGAGATACAGAGCAAGGCAGAAGCTCTATTGCCTCTGTAACCTAGCCTTGGAATACACACAGCATCACATTCACCATATTCTGTTTGTTAGGAGATAAGTCACTAAGATTGGCCCACGGTCTTTTTATTTATTTATTTTTAATAGAATGAATATTTAAAAACCTATGGACACATTTAAAAACCAGCATATTTTTGTATTCCTCCAACATGAAAAATACACTCACCTCCTCCCACAAATCTGTTATCATGGCATTAGGTTCAGGCTTGAATCCAAGATCTTACCATTTTAATCAGGAGCAGTGGGGTTAAGGTGTCTGAATTATAGTCCCTTGAGTTCAAGTCCTCTCAATATGAAGACTTGAGAATTAAAGTGACAGTTCTCTACCACTCAAAATGCAGGATGCGGATAACCTGCTAAGGACTCTCCCATTCAGAAAGAAGATGGGAAGCACGCTAGTCCATAGCAGTTTTGAAATATAGCCTGAAGCATGCTGTCAGTTCTTTAGTTAGGACTTAGTCCTAACCATGGGAATACTTCTCCATGGCTCTTTGCTTTACTCTTTGAGCTCTTGGTTCTGTCCTTTTCATAAGGAATGACCTGTGTTTTTAGCTGTTTTTTCAGCCTGCTTCCTCCCTGTGGGACTTCTAAGACCCAAAGGCCTATTTTCAGCTTGTACTATCTTGGTCTCTTTTAGTCCAAGCTCGCAAACAGTGTTTTTGCTTCTCTAATTCTCTTCACTTTTTTTTTTTTTTTTGAAGATTTTATTTATTTGACAGAGAGATAGAGAGCACAAGTAGGCAGAGAGGCAGGCAGAGAGAGAGGGAGAGGCAGGCTCGGAGCCTGATGTGGGACTCGATCCCAGGACCCTGGGATCTTGACCTGAGCTGAAGACAGCCGCTTAACCGACTGAGCCACCCAGATGCCCCTATAATTCTCTTCACTTTTTGAGTTTTCTGTGAATATTATTGGAGTTCATGCCATTAGAAAAGCCATTCTCCTGGGTCTTTTTGAGATAAGCTTTTCAACTCAGGTTTCCTGTGAACCTCTTATTTGACAATGCCTTTAAAATTCTTATACTCTTAAGATCCTTAAAGAAATTGGAGGCACACCTTAAAACCTTCCGAGGTCTTAAGGGTTTTATAGTCTTGGCTTCATCCATAGACCATGTTTTCCTCGATTTGCTCTTAACCCAGAAGCCATTTATTTTAGCATTATTTGACAATTCAACATGTGGAGAGGCTGTAAATGAGAAACAGATATTTGAACCCAGCAAATCCTGGTTCCTTCATATTGAATAGTGTTTCTTTAGCTTATCTCCCCTATGAGTTTCCTTTCAAGTGGTTTGTTGCATGAGTTCCTTTCCCTCTAGTGTCATTTTCTTCACTTGTCTAGAAACCTTTGCTGTAAGCCTCTTCAAGGGCCATCAGGTTTCCACTAACAGTTTCTTGGAAGCCCTTTTGGTTTTCATTCTTACTCTTCTCTACATCCTTTCAGGTTCCACCTACCTCCTGGTTCAAAGGAGGTTTATTTTTAGTTTGTTTTGTTTTTAATGGCAGCACCCCATTTTTAATATCAGTATCTGTGCCAGTTATTTATTGCTGCATACTCAACCATCTCAAAACCCAGTGGCTCAAAACAGCATTTATCTTGTTCACACATCTTTAGACAAGGCTGAGTAAGGCCAACTCATTTCTTCTTCATTTGGCATCAGCTGGGATGACTGGAAGCTGGGAACTAGAATCATCTAAAACCTTGTTCTTGTTCATGCACATGTTTGGCTGTTGAGGCTGCTTTTTGACTAGGATGTTAGCTGAGGCAGTCTCAGCTGCAGTATCTGCATGAGGACTCACTAGGTGGCCTGGGCTTTCCCACAACAGCTGGATGCTAAGGGTGAGCTTCTGTAGAAAAAGTCAGATGGAGGCTATCTCACATTTTGTAACCTAGCCTTAAAAATCACACAGCAGTTCTGCCATATTCTATTCACTAGAAACCAGTTACTAAGGCCAGCACATATTAAGGGGGGGGGGGATTGTCATGGGAGAAGTGTCAAAGAATTTATAAAACCACCACATCCACTCATCTTGTCTTACCAATCATATCTAAAAGAAAGAAGTTCTTCCCAATTCAGCATCACTGAAACTCCAGCAAGTTTTTTGGTTGTTTTTGTCTTATTTTGTGGGATGTAACAAAGGATTATAATACTGTTGAATTAAGGGGGTTTTTTGGGGGGTTTTTTTGGTCAAAAATGTATGGATCATCTCACTAAATTTTTTTACTGAGAGATGCGATTTCTTAACCTTGCAAATCATTTCTTCTCAGAATGCAATTCAAATTAGCATAAAACATTTGTAATTCAGAAAAAGGCTTATGGCATTAAAATCAGTCTTTATAGATTCATTAATTAGAGTTTTATTTTCAAAGTCTTATTTTGGTAAGCATTTATTTGCTGAGACCTACATAAGTCAATATGATATTCCTAAAACTTCTTTAAAACTTATGGAGTACCAGGGCACCTGGGTGGCGCAGTCAGTTAAGTGTCTGCCTTTGGCTTGGGTCGTGATCCTGGCATGCTGGGATTGAGCCCCACGCTGGGCTCCCTGCTCAGTGGGGAGTCTGCTTTTCCCTCCCCCTGCTCTTGCACTCTTGCTCTCTTGCTCTCTTTCCCTCTCAAGTAAATAAATAAAATCTTTAAAAAAAATTATGGAGTGTTAAGATGAGGGAAGGGTTAAGAGACTTTCTACTAAGAGATGACTTACAGTTATTTTGTGAAGGAAAGATCTGAAACAATCATAGAAAAATAAAAGTATAAATGTGTGGCAAAGAGAACGATAGCAGAGATCTCCTTTAGTAACTACTAGTGGTTTTAATTTTGTTCTTGATTTTCTGAGTTATTTGAGGTTCCACATTCCAAGACTCTACTTACAATATAGATAACATTTTGTTGAAAATGAATTTATTTTAAAATTTGAGCACCTGGCTGGCTCTGTCAGTAGAGCATGTGACTCTTGATCTTGGGGGTTGTGAGTTTGAGCCCCGTGTTGGGTGTAGAGACTTAAAATCTTTTAAAAAAAAAACTTGGTCATAGTTTTGCATTAGACTATTTTCACTCTACTTCCAAACTGTATTATTTTATTCATGCAGGTTGATGATCTTACAGCAAAACTGGAAACTGCGTCTTCAAAATGTCTATACCTGGATGCAAACAACCAGCTTCTTACCCAGGAGTTAACATCTATGAAGGAAATGCAGAAGAAATATGAAAAACTAGAGAAGAATAAAAAGAAGTTGGAACAAGTAGTAAACCTCAGAAGTCATGTAGAATTCAGTATGGTAGAATACAGTAAAATAGAACACTATAAACGGGAGCTTGAAGAAAGAACAAGATTGGACATAACAGAAAAATTAAAAGAAGCCAATCTGTTTTTCCAGGTTAATTTATTGATCTGTAGTATGCTTTAATCATTTCACTGCAAGTTACATTTTGGTTATATGCATTGTATAGTTTTCCTCTACTTCCTTTATAGCAATTTGGTAAATTTCTGGAAGCATTTGTTCCTTCTCTTTAAAAATTTCAGTTTTCATCGGGGCGCCTGGGTGGCTCAGTCGTTAAGCGTCTGCCTTCGGCTCAGGTCACGATCCCAGGGTCCTGGAATCGAGCCCCGCATCGGGCTCCCTGCTCCGCAGGAAGCCTTCTTCTCCTTCTCCCACTCCCCTTGCTTGTGTTCCCTTTCTCGCTATCTCTCTCTCTGTCAAATAAATAAATAAAATCTTTAAAAAAAAATTTCAGTTTTCATCATTATTCTCACTAAATTGATTTTTCAGAATGATTCACAGTAGAGAATCATTTTATTTTTTAAGATCACTTGGTATAAAACAAGACTATTGACAGGAAAAGAAAAGATGGTGTTTTAAAAATTTTAACCATGGGGTGCCTGGGTGGCTCAGTTGGTTGAGCAGCTCAGGCTTGTGAAATCAAGCCTAGCATGGAGCCTACTTTAAAAAAAAAAAAATTGTACCATACTTGGATTATTTTTTTTAAGATATTTATTTATTTATTTAGAAAGCACGGGTGAGGGGATGCACAGAGGGAGAGAGAGAATCCCAGGCAGACTCCATGCTGAGTATGACACAGGGCTTTATCTCATGACCCTGAGATCACAATTGAGCAGAAACCAAGAGTCAGGCGCTCAACCGGCTAAGCCAGCCAGGCACCCCCGGTACTTGAATTATTCTTAAGTTGTATTGTTCACTTTTTTAAAGTTTTAAATGATTCTATTATTCTCTGAATTACCAGATTGCATGAGTTCTAATATAAGAATGATTGAACTTTATCATTCAGATTTAATTCAGTTGACATTGATGACAAATATTTTACGCTTCAGCTTTTTTTTCACATTTACAATTGCTCTCTGAATCATTGACTCAAAACTAAAGGAAAGAAATATACTATAATTACCCAGGTTATAACTTATTTTAAAAGTATGCTTTTAATTTGCTTTAGACACAAGTAGCATCTCAAGAAAGCTTAGGACAGTTAAGAGAAGCTAATAATGCTTCAATAAGAAATCAAATGGAACTCAGAATTAAAGAACTAGAATTTGAACTATCCAGAATGAAGTGTTCTCAAGAAGATTTTAATAAAACAGAATTGGAAAAATACAAGCAACTCTACCTAGAAGAATTAAAAGTTCGAATGTCATTGACAAATGAACTGAACAAGTAAGTTAAAACAGAATCATAGAAAATAGATTTAGCTTGTTAATTTGCCTCTAAAGTGTAATTTTTATGGAGCCAGGTTCATGAGATGAGTAGGAAGTGAAAGCCAATTAGATAGTTTAATTTTGGAAAATGATGTTTGTAAAAGAACTTACCTTTGAAATGTTCGTCCAAGACAGTTTGCATCTCTCCTCCTTTTTTTGGTTTTACGTGATTTTATTTTTTTCCCCTTAATATTTTCAGTTAATCTGATCTCCTAGTCTTTAAGCTAATGGTTAGAAGCTTTATAATTTAGACAGCATGTTATTATAAAATTGTTTGTCAGAATTGCCCTAAATAGAAATGAGTTTATTAATATTAGTGAGTTTATTTTTGGAAGAATACATCTGTAACCCAACTGCACATCCTGGCAGCTTGGTAAATTTACTTTTTTGATTGTGATTTTTGTTATTATTACCAAATAGAGGGTGCTTTGAAACAAACTGTTCTTTATAGTTTTTCTACCTTACATAAAAGTATACATGTGAAATACAAAAAGATTCCCCTAGGGGCCGAAAGGCAGTATAATTCCCAAAGTGGCTAAAAAAAGCACCATGGTGGACATGAGGAGGGGCTGGGTGAAAGACAGAAAGGGTAGATTCCACCTCCAGTACCCTGGTAGCTGTGTTATAACCTAATTGGCTCTGGAGCTGTTTTATTTCTTTCTGATCACAACTCTGCCATCTAGCAATTGTTGGTCTAAATTATTCCTCAGTGCCAAATGCTCAATTTCTCTGAGGTAATGAGTGAAATGTGCAAGAGTGGTGAAAGCCAATGCTTGAAAATGTCTTTGAGGGATGGTTTATTTTTATTTTTATTTTAAAGATTTTATGTATTTATTTGACAGAGAGCGAGCGAGTGAGCTCAAGCAGGGGGAGCGGCAGGCAGAGGTTGAGGGAAAAGCAGGGGCTCGATTCCAGGACTCTGGGGTCATGACCTGAGCCGAAGGCAGATGGTTAACTGACTGAGCACCCAGCCCCCTGGGATGGTTTTATATTTTTATATCTCTAAACTGGTTTACTAAATAGAAGTATATGTAATGGCATCCTGGTTTACTAAATATAAGTATGTGTAATGGCATCCTCAAGAATCTTGTTAAGTCCAGCCATTCCAGAAGGCAGCAGGTATTACCTGTTAAGCCATGTGCATCACTAATAGCCATTTCTGTCCCTCCTTAATTTGAATTACTTGTTAGTTAGGAATCCTCTAGAAATATATGTCCTTTAGAGCAATTTTAAACCTATCATTATATATTGTAGGTCTGCTCTGTCACATTTTCAGTGTTAAAACACCGTTTAATGGCACATTCTGTTTACTATTATGGAAACTTTAAAAAAATGCAAGTCACTTAGGAATGATTTGGGGAGAAATGAAATACTAAGCATTGTGTTTTGTAATCTTAACAGGACTAATGAGAAGCTGGCAGAGACCAGTACCAAACTTCTGGTGGAGACACAGCAAAAAAAGTCTTTGATTAATACTATTGCTATGAGCCCTGTCCTAGAATTGCCTTCTGTTAGAAATATGAATAATAGTTCACTGTTCAATAGATATGTTGCTCCGAGAGAAAACCTAGTGATTCCTACCTCAAGCTCACGGCCTACAAAGAATGGCGTTGAGACTTTCTTGACCAAGGTTAGTTATCTTTTTGCCCTTGGGTTTCAGATTTCTGATATAATTTTTGTTTTTAATTTGGTGAAATTCTGAGTTGTTTAACTAACACACACTAAGTAAAAGTCATAATTATATGCGCTAATAAAGAAATGAGACAGAAATTTTACGATTTTTTTTTAGTTCCTGGAGCTCTTACTTTCAAGAGATACCTATTATTAACTTTATTTAGTAAATATAACTAAACTGACATATTTTACTATTTTTAAGATTTTATTTATTTTATTTTATTTTTTTGAAGATTTTATTTATTTATTTGACAGAGGCACAGTGAGAGAGGGAACACAAGCAAGGGCAGTGGGAGAAGGAGAAGCAGACTTCCCTCCAAGCAGGGAGCCCGAAGTGGGGCTTGATCCCAGGACCCTGGGATCATGACCTGAGCCAAAGGCAGCCGCTTAACGACTGAGCCACCCAGGCGCCCCTAAAGATTGTATTATTTTAGAGAGAGAGAGTGCACAAGAGGGAGAGAGAGCATGCGACTTTCAAGCAGACCCCCCCCCCCCGAGCATGGAACCCTACATAGGGCCCAGTCTCATGACCTGTTTTCTCACATGAGAGTACATTTTTAATTGCTTTCTTACTTATAGCATTTTTTTTTACTTATAACACTTCTATTTCACGTTTTACAAAATGTCTTGAGCAGTTGTAGAGCATTTTCTAAATAGCTAAATCAAGCAAATATTTGATTTTTTTTTTTCCAGAGAGGGAGTGCAAGCAGGGGGTGAGGAGCAGAGGGTAAGCAGGCTCCATGCTCAGTGTGGAGCCCGATGTAGGGCTTAGTCCCACAACCCTGAGATCGTGACCTGAGCCAAAATCAAGATCAGACACTTAACTGTGACTGAGCCACCCAGACGCCCCACAATTTGAATTCTTAAAAAGAAGTTCACATATATCTACCTTGCCATCAGTTGAATGATTGATGACTAAGATGGGAATGATAGGGAGTCTTTAAATAGCAGCTAGTTTCCTTTGTGTCATTGTTATTAAAATATCCATTTCAATGAATGCACATAGGTTTATGGTTTTGATGGTATATTCACGTTCTTATTAATGTAGACAAAAGTAGCATAGGCTTGTGGTAAATGAGGCCTCAATCTTGTTCCTTCATTCGGCATCCTTATTGTCTTGCTCTCTTCCCTTCTAATTTGAGGACTTTCTTTAGTGTTATGCTTGGATGCCTTTAGATTTTTGGTTTGTGATCACATGAAGTTCATATATAACATCCTATGTATATAGCAGTCTATTTTAAGTTGATGGTTACTTAAGTTCAAACACATTTTAAAAACACTACATTTTTACACCCCACCTTGTTTTATTTATTTGATGTCTTAGTTTACATCTTTTTATTTTGTGTATCCCTTAACTAATTACTGTAGATATAATTGATATTACTACTTTTGTCTTTTAACCTTCATACTGGCTTTATAAAAGTGATTGATCTATTACCTCTACTGTATGTTTGCTTTTACCAATAAAACTTTCTTTTTCTTATTTTAAAAGATTTTATTTATTTGAGAGAGAGAGCAGGGGAAGGGTGGAAAAGCAGGCTTCCCACGGAGCAGGGAGCCTGATGTGGGGCTCGATCCCAGGACCCTGGGATCATGACCTGAGCCGAAGGCAGATGCTTAACCGACTGAGCCACCCAGGCGCCCCCCAATAAAACTTTCTTTCATAATTTTTTTACTTCTAGTTATGGCCTTTCCTTTTTTTTTTTTTTTAAGATTTTATTTATTTATTTGACAGAGACAGCCAGAGAGAGAACACAAGCAGGGTAAGTGGGAGAGAGAGAAGCAGGCTTCCTGCTGAGCAGGGAGCCCGATGTGGGGCTCGATCCCAGGACCCTGGGATCATGACCTGAGTGGAAGGCAGACGCTTAATGACTGAGCCACCCAGGCACCCCTCCTTTTTTTTTTATTTTAATTTATTTATGAGAGAGAGAGGGAGCAGAGCAAGCAAGAGAGAACACAAGTGGGAGGGGAGGGCCAGAGGGAAAGGGAGAAGCAGGCTCCCTGAGCAGGGGGCCTAATGTGGGGCTCGATCCTAGGAGGTCCCTTAACCTATCCTCATTTTTAAAATTCTTTTTTTTCTTTTTGGCTTGGAGGATTTCTACTACCCTGTCTTGCAGATCACTGGTCTGTTCTGCAGCTTTCAATCTGCTGTTGATTCCCTCTGGTGTATTTTTCATTTCAGTTATTGTAGTCTTTAGCTCTGATTGGTTCTTCTTTGTATGTTCTCTTTGTTGAAGTTCTCACTGAATCCATCCATTCTCCTCCCAAGTTTGCTGAGCATCTTTATGACCATTACTTTGAACTCTTTATCAGGTAGACTACTTATCTCTGTTTCATTTAGTTATTTTTCTGAAGTGTTGCATTGTTCATTCATTTGGAACATACTCGCCTGTCTCCTCATTTTGGCTGACTTTCTATGTTTGTTTCTGAAGTTGTTCTTTTCAACTTTTTCCCTCTTTAAAGTATGTTGCTTTGAAGAATGAATGTTAGTTATAAAGTCAAGGAAGAAGAAAACATGTCTAAGTGTTGTCTGGTCATTTTTCTTGTTGGAACTGTGGTGGAGTAGGTGGCAGATGACATTGCTCTTCTTTTTCTGAGTTGAGAACACAGGAGTCAGGCAGATGGAGATAAGCTTAGTAACTTTATTAGTAATACATACTAACAAATAGGAGGATATGGTTTAGGTAGGTAGCCACAGCGAGCTTCCCAGTACTTTATCCCAAATTAGGCACTTCCACACACAGTTGTAATGGAAGGAACAAATGTTTGATGCCCATCCCACAAAGATGAGAGCAGACTTGAATTCATGCTACTATGGCAGGCACATCTTTTTAAAGAAGAGATTTGGAACCATGTATGCATTGCTTAGTGCCTTCTCCCAAATTCACCCTTTAGGTAAATCTCCCTTCCTGTCGTGAGGAAGGTAGAGAAAAGTCCTCACATGGAAATGAAGGTTTACCTATAATTTCTGACTTGATTTAAATTCTAATTAAAGTTAATCATGTCTTTTGTACATACCAACTAATGATGAGAGGTTGGACAGAGCATGCTAGATGGTAAAGAGAAATCTGTTGTGCGTTTTAAATTTTGCTATAAATAACCCACAACATAGGTAACTCATTTGTTGATTGATTTGGATAAACAAAGTTTTATTTGAAGGAAATGAATAATTCTTTCAAGGAAGAATTTCCTCAGTTTCAGGTTCTTTGGTTCGACTAAAGATTTTCTCCTTCAAGTTCCTTGTCCTTTGGTTAAAAAAATTTATGCTTATAAATTGCACATGTTGACTGTTACTAAAAGGAGTTAAGATAACTTCTGTTCCTTTCTTTTTGTTCATGACTTTAAAATTTATACTTTAGTTAGAAAGCTATTTTGTGCCTAATGCCTGAACATTATTGAGCCACATGACAAAGTTTTATGTATTCATATTCTCTGAGTTATAGTTAAAAATGCATGCATTGTTCCTGAATATGAGGAAGTAACTGGCATAAAACTCTAGGCTCAGTAAGACCTAAACCACATTCCTGGCTTGCAGCTAGGTGGTTTTTTGACCTCAGGCAAACTGCAATCTCTCTGGGGCCTTTTTGTCTCTTATGTAAAATTAGGGACTTTGACGAAGTGAGTGACTTTTATACCTTTGGAAAAACTTTTTTCCCAAAGAATAGAACTTGAATTTTTTTTTTTTTTTTGCATTAAACTGTATTATATAAAACAGAGACAGGTAGAGCTGTTTAGCTAAAGGAGAGATGAGACTACACCTGTAGACTTCCTTGTCCCTCAATCCTGCTTTGTCCCCAGTGGAACGTTAGATTACTATGGGCATAGTTTGAAAACTAACAGTTATGAGAAAATCCTTCTAGTTAATAATTCTTCAAATTAAAATTTGCTGATACATTGGTACATTGTTTTTCTGTGTATAATTTTCTTACCCGCCTATATTTTTGATAAATGGAAAAGTATAAATAAAATTGCAGATGTGTTCTATTTATTAATGGACTTCAAGCTATTTCTACGAAGCACAATTCTTACCTTGAAATAAACAAAGGTCACAGAAGTAAATATTTAGGAAAAGAGCTTTTGGGGAAAAGATAATAACATTACATTGGTAGTTCCTTAAGTCACGTCATATGAAAAAGTAGTTTATATTTTACATAGTATTTGTTAATGGTATTATAAAATTGCTTCAATAAAAGTTTCTCCCATCAAGTGGTATTGAGTTATTAATTTTACAAGGCCTGTCTAGTAATGTTGTCAGATTATTCGTTTTATAAATCCTGAATATAATGTTACTGTCAAAAAGTGTTGTGGTTCCTCAAAAAATTAAAAATAGAAATATGATACAATTCAATACTTCCACTACTGAGTATTTACCCAAAGAAAATGAAAACACTAATTCGAAAAGTTGTATGCACCCCTGTGTTTTTTGAAACATTATTTACAATAACGAGAGTATGGAAGCAACCTCAGTGTCCATCAATAGACGAATGGATAAAGAAGATGTGTTATATGTATATAATGAAATATTACTCAGCTATAAAAAAGAATGGGATCTTGCCATTTGTGACAACATTGGTAGACCCAGTATTTTGCTAAGTGAAATAACTCAGAGAAAGGCAAATACCATATGATTTCACTTATGCATGGAATCTAAAAAACTAAACTACTAATAGCCTAGTTCGACTTAATTTCTCTATCTTCTGGAAGCCTTACCCATAACATTAAATAATCCATTAACACGTGTTTCGTACATTGCAGGTACTATATACTATATCCTCACAATAAAATAAGCTAGAACAAAAATGTTATTAAGAAAAACATAAGAGAAAAGACACTCCAATGCAGTATCAAAAAAAGTCCATGTGTAAGTAGAGTAGACCTGTACCGTTCAAACACACGTTGGTCAAGGATCAACTGTATATTACAAGTATTCCCATCTAGAATGTTCTTCCTTAGACC